TTTCAACTGCTGTGGACTGTGCTGTCCAAGAAACTCTAAAGGCTAGTTGGAGTCAATTCACTTAAAATAGGCACCAATCTTTTATAGTAAGTAGTGGAGAAAAGTTTAAATGGGAATTGATCTTGAAAATTAAAGTTTATAAAAAGATTTTTATCGTATTTTATGTTTAACAAAACTTAATCATAATTGTAATAACTATGCAATTACATGAAGTAAACAAAGAATATATCATATTTTTGTTTTCTAGTGCAAATTTTCCAACATAGTTGGAATTGTATTTAGTTTTGTATTTCTGTGTTACAAATCACAATAAATTCAGCTGCTTAAAACAATACCCATTTGCTAGCTCATAGTCCCGTGGTCCCAAGCCTTATGCCATGGGCTGTGCTGGGTTTTATGCTCAGGGTCTCACAGGATGGCAGCCACTTGGGGAGTTTCACCTCTGCAAGTCCTGAGCAAGAACCCAATCATTTTCCAGCTCTCTCAGGTGGTTGACAGAATTCAGTTTCTTGCAGTGGTAAGATTGAGGCTCCATTTCTTGCTGTGAGCCAAGGGTCTCCATTGCTTTCTAGAGGCCACCATGTTCCTTGTCACGGGGACCCCTACCTCTTCCTAGAGCAGCAGATCAGTGAAACCTTCCTGACTTTTTAATTCCTCTGATTTCTCCTTCTGCTACAGCCAAAGAAAACCTTCTGCCTGTACAGGGCTCAGGTGATTAGATTTGGCCACCCAGATTATCTTCCTCCTGCCATATAAATAACATTATCACAGCAGTGAAATCACATCACATTCACAGATCCTCCCACATTCAGATGGGAGAGAATTATACATGGGCAAAGGTCGCTGGGGGTCATCCTTAGAATTCTGCCTGCCACAGTGGCACACGACGCCCTTCGCTCAATGTTTAACATTGGCAGTAAAACCACAACAACAGTCAAATTGAGGGGCATTGTCAGTTATCGCCAGGGCGAATGTCAGTCTTGGGATATTAAAGTTATTGTTCTTTGAAGTGCCTGGCATGTCACCATCATGGCTGATTTTCTCTTCTTCAGTTGCTGGCAAATCTAATTTTTAAGTCTTTTGTTGGTGTCTCTGTCAGTGATTCCAGTGTTGCTACATTATTTTTGACTTCCTGAATCCCTGCATCTTTTGCAAACTTGAAATTTGATTTCATAATCAACTTGTGTCTGCTTTGTTAGATTCTGCACAATATCCTACAGTCATCAGTGAGAGCCCAGTGGGTACAGATGTTTACACCTGGAGCGTGAAGCACTGAGAGGTTAAATACTCAAGGCCATGCACCTGCCCAGTGGAGCAGCTGGGACTGGAGCTCCGTCTGATTCTCAAAAAGTTGCCCATTGCTATTTTTAGCAATTGTCTATTAATATCTATTCATGCTCTACACTCTTTGTAGGATGATAATCCTTACTTTTTTTTTCCTGTTAAACTTCCACCCATACGTCTAGGACCAGCTCAGGCGACTCTCTCCTTGAGAAACCTTCTCTGACCCACTCTGACTCTCTTTCTACCATACCCTGGAAGAACTTCCCCCTTTCTCCAGGTTGCTCCTATAGACCTTTGCCCAAACAGCTATTACTGTCTTTACCAGACTGTATCCAACAAATTGATTTGTGTTTCCATCTCAAAATATAAGTGTAATGTGAAAGGGAGCATGTCTTAACTATTTTATACTGTAAATATTCAGCTTAATTACTGACACACAGTAAACACTAATAAATGTTAATAAATTACAGAGAAACAGTATAGGTTGGAGGTAGGGCAGTGCTTCTCAACCTACACCCCATCCCCCACCCCACAAGGACTTATGGCAACGTCTGGAGACATTTTTGGTTGTCACAACCGGCGGGATGGGGGATGCTCTTGACATCCGGAGGGTAGAGGCCACGGATGCTCCTGAACATCCTGCACTGCATGGGACAGCCTCCACCCACACCAGAAATATTATTCAACCCAAAATGTTAAGGTTGAGAAAGCCTGAGTCAGACGACATAAGAATCCTTCAAATGTTCATGCAAACATTTGCATTGTCTTTTAATACAAATAAAAAGACACTACTTTAAAAAGTACCATAGTATAGGGCCTTAGATAGAGAGATACAGTGAGAAAAGTCAGTACTGTGGAATTCTTTGGGTTTTCACAAAATTTCGAAAAGCCGAGAACATATTGGAAAACGGAGATGAGTTAAAGTCTGGTCAAAATTGTACTGTTCATACACTTGCCACTCACGGTTGCCCTGGCAACAACTCCGTATTACTTATTACTGTGATGTCTTAATGACAAGGAAATGGTACAGTCATTAGAGGGCAGTATATTTGCTCTACTTAGCATCACTGGAGAGGAGGAGGAGATTGGGAAAAATTTGTGCCTCAAACAAAAAAAATTACAACAGAGCAGAAAATGACTTGTCTCTGAAACGGTAACGTGCACGTATGTGCCGGAGAGTGAGCATCTGTGTGCTGGTGGTGCTGCTTTCCCCGCTGATCCAGGCAAGTCTGCAGGGAAGCAGTTCTCAGGGTGGTCCCCAGGGCTGCAGTGTCAGCATCACCTGAGAACCTGCTGGAAACGCAGATTCTCAAGTCCCATTCCTGATGCTGAATCAGAAGCTCTGGGGCTGAAGCCCAGCAATGGATATTTTGACAAACCCTGCAGGTGATCTGATGCACACATGTGGGTAATAAATAACACAGCTGACTACCAATTTTTCTCACCAGTCCACTAATGACCTCATGGCCTGAAAGGAGTGCTGGGCTAGGATAAGGCTCATTTGACTGACTCTCTGTGAAGGGGGACTTGGGTTTGAAGC